AGGTATCTCTGACTTCACATCCCCTCAGTAACAGTTCAGTTTCAACACCACGAACCTGGAAAACATTCAGACTGAAAAAGGAAAGACCACTGTGGGTCAGGACACACTTCTTAACTTCTCTAGGGTCCCTCCTCAGCAAATAGGGAGACAAGAACTCAGTTCAAAAGGCTGTCTTCTTCTCCAGACTCTCTGCTTTTTAGATCAAGCACAGGTTGATACAGAAGCCCAGTGAGTGACTAAAAACCCGTACACAGGTCAAAGGCTCCGACTTCAGGGTTTAGGGGGGCAAGCTTGCTCACTCTCCAGATGGTCTGCTTGGGGCATATTAAAAGGTCATCTTGGTAAAGTCCTGCTCGACGTTGCTTGGCTCCAATGTCACTTATCCCTACGTTGGTACTCATGGTGGCCACAGTGACAATCGGGGAAGCTGGAGAATGCTAGGCACCATGCTGTTATTTATATAGACTTTTCTTACCAAATTCAAAATATCCTTAATGGAAGATTATCTATGATTATCTATCATTTCACTGGTGAAGATGGTGATGACGATAAAGGTTAGGTAACTTATGTGGAGGGCAGATCAATGACTTTCCAAAGATGTCCACAATCTACTCACTGAATGCTTCTGCATGGTGGCTACTGTAATGAGGGGGCTTTCACATGCAATTATGTTAAGGATCTTAAAAGGGGGAAAATACACTGGATTATGCAATCTGCATGAGCTCACTGTGACCACAAGATTCCTCACGAGGGAGAGGCAGGGAATCTGAGTCAAGAACGGAGGAGATGTGATAGCTAAAGCAGAAACCAGGGAAATGTTCTCCAAGTCTCTCAAGACAAAGGACGGTTCCTTCCCTGGAGCCCTTAGGAAGAGCACAGCTCTTGATTTTAGTCCCTTAAGACCTGTTTTGGATTTGTGACTCCTAGACTTGCAAGTATTGCGTCTATACTGTCCTAAGCCCCAGTAGTTTCTGTGGATTTCTTCTTATAATTGTAGCAATAAGAAACAAAGGCCCTTCCATGTTGTACGGTCATGAGAGTGTAGGTTCAGGGTATAACCCCATACAGTCTTGCTCTCAAGTGATATTTCAGCTTCTGGATCAAACACTGAGTTTCTGTGATATGGGCATGGTGTTGTCTGCATGACTACCTTCCTAAATTGAGCTCCCTAAATTCTGAACTTCAGCTATGCAAATGATTATTATTGTTTCCTTAACAGGTTCCTTATTGCCACCCTTTAACTCTGTTGTCAGTGCAAAAATGAAAAGTGTTGACAGGCTGGACAGAATTCTGTGACTCATGCATTTGGTGTCTGTGGGAGAGTGGGGAAGAAATAGAAGCTAGCAACTGGAGACACTGAAGTGATGGGAGAAAAACCCGAACGCGAAGAGGTGAAGTCAGGATAAAGTCGTGTGGGGAAATCTCAAAGGGTGTGCATTTTTAGTCCTCAGGATGAAAAATTAGAAGTGACTTTCCAATAATTGGCTTTTAAAGTATATATGAAGCGATGATCAACATATTTAAGATGGGGAGTCCTATGGGAACCTAAGAGAATTTAAAAATCTTTTTGGTGGGAGTAGGATCTGAGAAGATGCAGAATAAAACTCTACTAATTCTGATCCTTCAGCAACCAATTCCTGGCACATTTCTTCTCTAAGCTCTCCCTTAACCAGCCCAGCCCAAAGGCATTCCTCTCCACTGGCACAGGAATCCCAGTTCTACCATGCATGCCCATTTGACACTCACTGTCTTGTTTCAAGAACTTCACTTTTTGCCAACCAATCGTACGACAAGCCAGCATAAAGAAGGGGTGCATCTTGTATGCGCTGTATGTTCTCATGAGCCACAGAACACGCAGAACGTTACTATACCCAGTTCTAAAACCTTTTGCTCATGAAAAAGAAAATGATCGTCATTATCTTGTCAACTCCGCTGAGTTTTTAGATTCATCCATTTGCCCATTATGTGGACTCCATTGTTTGGTTTAACATCGTGTATCTACTGTCACTTTCCTTTTGGTAGCCCAAAGCTGGAATCCTGGATCCTGATCTTATAGAATATACTGTGGTGGACACACAGGTCTTTCTGTCGGGTGGGGACACTCATTGTCTGGCAACTGAGGATAAAGAGATGGTGGTTCTCAGCTGAGGTGTGTTCTATGTGGGTACTCCCTTCATCATGAGAGGACCACCTTATTTACTTATTACACCTCTTCTGAGGACGCAGTCATAAAAGTGTATAATAAAAACCCACCTGCCTCTAGGTGGTTCAACTCTGAAGGGCCAGCCCATCTTAAAAATCCCTAAAGGGCCTGGCTGAGCCCTTTAGGACAGCTCTAGTGCAGCTTAATCCTTTCCCAAGCCCATCTGGCTGTCTTCACATCTCCACAGGTGAAGGCAGAAAGCTTTCCCTACTAAACCCTGTCTCCTAGGAAATTTGCTCAATGGCGGATTCTCACACACAAATGAGGGTGGTCTGAATGAGAATGGTCCACATAGCCTCATATGCTGGAATACTTGGTTCCCAGCTGTGGAACCACCAGGAAAAGGATTAGAAGGTGTGGCCTTGTTGGAGAAGGTTTGTGACTGGGGGAAGGCTTTGAGGTTTCAGAAGATTTATACCATCCACAATCTCTCTCTCTCCCTCTCTCTCTCTCTCCACCAAGCAGCCCCTATCTGTCTCCAAAAATTTGCAAATTAAGATGTAAGCTCTCAGCTGCTCCTGTTGCTAGGTCTGCCATCATAGCCTTAGAAACCATGAACCCCTGTAGCATGGAGGGCTGGCTTGTTGGGGTATCTGTTCCGCCCGGTACCCCACAACCCGCAAGCCCCAAAGAAAATTACACACAGGACTCCATAAGATTATAAACTGATTGGCCCATTAGGTCAGGCTTCT